ACCGCCGGGCCGGGAGGGCGCGGCAGCTGCAGGCGGGCGGAGCTGGGGCTAGCCACCGCCTTCTGGGCGGTTCCCAAGGTGTCTTGGGTTTCGCTGCTCCTCGGCGTGGGTGGCTGGTCCCCATAAATGTCGTTCCGCAGCCTCCTGCACAGCCTCCTCGCCTTCTGGCCAGCACTGGCCACTACATCCCTTTCTGCCGCTGAAGGTCTTTAACGTCTTCCCACTCCCTCCCTGCCCTCTCCAATGGGCAGGCCCTTTGCCGTCTCTGTCCCACCTCCTACCTGATTCCTGCCTTCTCTCCCAACCACTCCACCCAAGGATGCCCCAGGCTACATTGAAAGCAGCGTCCTTCCTACAACTGCTATTGTAACAATGACTGGTCCCACCAAAATCCTCAAAATGTAGGACCCGATACCTTTTCGCCCACCCTGCTCCCTTGCCATCCCAAATAATTCTCTGATAACTAAGCACACCTTACTTCTACCTGCAAGCCTTAACCCGTACTGTTACTTCCATTTTTAAGGCCCTTTCCTCAGTCCCTGTGGTGGGAGCTCAGGTCAAATGAACCTACTCCACAGGGTATTCCCAGATTCCTCAAAGTCTATGTCTCCTGCTCTCCCAATGCACCAAGTACTTTATACCTGTTATAATTTTCATTCCACACTGCTAGATTCTGTGTGCTTCTCTTTTCCGATAAAATTACTCAGCTCAGCTCACTCTTTTCTTCAACTCCTACCAAGATGGGCCAAGCAGGATGATAAAGACTGAGACAATCGATGAATCAGAGAATTGCTAAAGCTGAAGAGCAGCATGTTTATGTAGGAAACATTTCTAAATGATATAGGTTCACTAGGCCTTGAGGGTTATCAGCACAGGTTCATAGGTTCTCAATAAATGTCTAAATTGGGTGAGCTGCTGGGATCATGCATTCATTTGAAATCTTATAAAAATATAAACACCTCCTATGCACATAGAAGGCTAAGCTCACCTTGGATACACTATTGCTATATATCTTGTTTTAATTGCCAAAGACAGAGAAGTGGGTGGGAAGCACCCTTCTAGGCCAAGGTCACAACACAATCCCTTCTCCATTTCTCCATCTCGACAGGATTTTGGGAACATGTGCCTGGCATGTTTTCAAATTGCTGGAGCCAGGATTGGAACTACAGTCAGCCATGTGGGATCCAGCTCCTTAACCATCAGGCCGCAAAGTAGGCCCAAGTATTCTTATCACTAATTTGCATATAAGCAAATAGGCTCAGTAAAATTTAATAACTTATCCAGCCCATATAACCAGCTTTTAATCCAGAAAATTAAAACATACACATATGAGGGGCTGGCAAGTGGCATGGTGGTTAAGGGCGCTGGACTCCCACATGGCCAACCATGATTCAAGTCTCGGACCTGGTGACTTGCTTTCTCACTTCTTCTCTCTCTCTGTCTCTCTCTGATCAAACTGGAAAATAACAATGATAATAATAATAAATGAAGTTAAATAAAGTAATTCTTTATTTAAAAAAAACATACACATATGGAAAACTAAACCATTACAGTTTAGTGTAAAAAAAAGCTAGGTAGGGACCAGCAGTTAGCATAATGGCTATGTCACTGGACTCCCATGTAGTCGACTGCAGTTCCAGTCCTGGACCCGGTGGCTTAAACTCATGCTGAGCACATGTACACGCGTGCCCAAGATCCCGAGAGGAGAAGGGATTGCGGTATGGCCATCCCGCCCCCCCCCCGGGGGGGGGGG